TATACGTCTGACTTCCGTGACACGGAATGAAATGCAAGGGAGATGAAGTCTGCAGTTTGCAAAGCGAGGAGCTCTAAGCTGTTCAAGCTCGTCATAGAATTTCAATGCTAAATCTGCGGCCACGGTTTGTTGCAGAGAAGATACTTGCGTGTGAATATGACCTTCAGACAAAGGTGAAAGCGCGCGTGGAGGAGTGGTGTAAGAGGTTATATGGGCTGGAAGACAGCTATTGAACTCGGAGGGTTCTCCGATCCAGTCGAGGACAGAGATGTCGCCCGACCGAGCCACGATCTCCTGCAGGAGCCGTCCGAGCGCGTTCTGCTTCTTCTCGCCATAAATGACAGGTAGGGTGATGCCGAAGATGCCAAATAATGAGTACGCGACATCTTCTTGCACAGTGGTGACACGCTTTGACGCCCATTGCAGTTTCTTTCGGGCGCCGCTCATACCTGGACGGAAGGCCAATAGGGCCCGTACATCTATGCCCATCACATCCTCCAACTCCTTCATGATGGCAGGGGACTCTTTGTGGTTAGGAGAGCGATCGTCGAGATATAACGACCAATCCTTTCGATAGAAGATAACAACTTTCGGAGCGAGGAATTCTTGAAAGGTCCATCCCCGCTCGTTCCAAACACTCCTCGCCAGTGCACCGGGCTGGGATGAAGGAAGGACATCGCATAGATAGACGATGGTGAGCGCTGAATGGTGGTACCAGACGAACATGGAGTTGACCGATTCTTGAACTTCGCTATTGCTCTTCTTGTCGATGCAGCATGTGTCCATCCACGCCCAAAGATACCCGGCATCACGAGCGACTTTGCAGAACGACTGCACTTTCGCGATGCCGCCAACTCCCTTCAACTCGCGCACATCTTTATCCTGGATGTCGTGCAGCAACGCCTCTTTCTCTTCCCACCTGTGTGATAGCATGACGCAGCGGAAGTACATTGCTACCACTTCCTTGATGCGGTCCAGTTGGAGGCCTGAATACTCCGTTGTGCATGACAAAAGCTCCTTGTACTCTGCACTCATTTTGAAGGCGTTTATTTGTGCCGCTCGATCGCACAAAAGACCTGTGGAGGTATTGAGTAGACGTAGGGGGACATATTCGAGTTCCATCCAAACAGCTTTTTGAATAGCGTCTTCCGCTTCGGAGGGACAGACATACTGCTGATGCATATCTGCAGAACAACGTAGGCATTTTGAGATCATACGAGAGTGTTCCATGGCTTACATCGTATCTGCGCTTCGGGAGAATCATCCCACTTCGACAACATCATTTCGAAGGGGATGGCGTCGTTGTAACGTTGCGCGCCACGCAGGGCCAAACGTATCAACCGGTATCCCACATTCGACGAAGGATTGAGTTCGGTGACCTATGCATTGTCAAAGTCAACATGGGCCATGAAAACATAGAAACTATCGCACCTTTTGCGCATCCAGAAGCGCATCTTCCCAAAGCTTTTTACCTAATTTGGCCATACTACGATTTGCAAAGACAGCATCGGATGGAGAAGTGAGGTCGATCGCAGTCGAGTATAAGTCAATAGCACTGTCAAAATCGTTTACAGCGAGAGCAGTATCTCCGTTGGTAAGAAAGATGGCGCCGCATTCTTGCTTGAAAGCTGAGTGAAATGCGGGTAAGGATTTATGACCTCGGCGACATCACTAAAGACTTGCCGTCGGACCATTCAACGCAGCTGACTTTCGTTGTTTCATCGATGTTGTCCGTCATATATTGGTATGATTTGACGGCATCTTGAGGTTTACCTGCCCGAAGGAGTGCATCACAACGTTTCTGGTTTGCAGTGAGCTGCAACGATTTGAGATCCCAGCCGAAGAGCTGGACAAGGGATTCAGTTATGAAAAGGATTTTGGATGCGTATTCACACACCACCACAAAGTCCTCATGCATAGAATGAATGGGTGAACTCCATGAAAGAGCACCCAAGTTGAGAACGACGGTAAAATGGTCGGCGGCTTCTTCGTGACGCGCACTATCCAAGGCCTCAATTCCAAGTTGAACACGCAGATATGCCTAATGTGTGAGTTGCAAAGCTTAGTGTAGAATCTAGATGATGACTAAGTGGGAATGACACCTACTTGCACTACACCACACGTGAGAGTATCGGCATTCGGACAACCTGCAGCGAGTTCTTTGAGGAGCAGGTTTGCCTCGTCCTGTTGATCTGCATTGAAAAGAGCGATGGCCTAAAATACGCGATGAAGCAGAACGCATGTGAGATACATGTAACATACTTTGATCAAGAGAAGGAAATGGAGGATTTGTGGATCTTGGTCCGTGTACATTGATGCAACATCAAACGCTGCCCTCCCATCCGAGACAAAAGCCTTTTCCGCAGAGGGCAATGCCCTTGGAGATGTATCCCGTCAATGAGGGCCGAATGCTGATAGACTAAGTCACCGTCGGGTGAGCCCTTTGTAAGGGGGCCATGATCAGTGCGTATAACTCACTTTGATTGCATCCTGAAGGGCGCGGTCCCAGTTGTATTGTCGAGCCATCACGAATGAGCGATGAGCATAGGAAGTGTGGTTGTTCATATTGGTGTTAATATCTTGCGTGAGCAGGCTTTCGGCGGTAAATAAGTCACCATCTATGCATGCATCGCGGGCTGTCGTGATGGCAAGAATCTGTATAGAGCATGCTCAGATTGTGGTATATGAGTCAAGGACGGAAACATGCCTTTGGGTGAATACCCTGAGGCACTGCCCACTCTGAGATCATATTATCTTGACCTCCGCTGAGGATGTGCTTGCCGTTCACGGAGAAAGTGACGCATAACGGCGTAGATGAGTGCTTGAAGGTAACCATAATTCGTTCATCTGAGAGCCGCCAGAGACAGACATGATTGTCATCAGATGCGGAGGCTGATGAGTATGCCAGCAGGATGAATGGCAATGGCATTGATTTGGCTAGAGTGACCTATCCAGGGATCACCGACCTGCTCCCAGGTTGTTGTATCCCATTTGCGTATGGTAGGATCAAGAGCACCGCCACCTGTGACAAGGCGCGTGCCATCGGGTATCCATGCGAGTGACACGTTGCTTCCAGTGTGTGCCTTGAAGGATGCGATGCATTCTCTCGTACCTGGATTATGAATTTGGACATTGTCTTTTGTTGCGATGGCAAGAAGTTGTCCAGAGGGCGAATATCGTACGCATTTGACATCACTACCACACTTTACTGGATTTCCTTGTTGCTCCCAGGTTTTGGCGTTCCACAGCTTCGTCATCCCGTCGCATGAGCCAGTGGCCAGCACTGTTCTATCAGGAGAAAAATCCATCGAGTTGATCCAACCGGAGTGGGCTTTGATGGGTTCAGTGAGTGAATCGCCAGTTTCTCCGTGCCAGATAATGATATCTCCTTTCAGATCACCGCTTGCTATCAATTGCCCATCTCGTGATACAGTCAATACCTGCACGTCACTGCGATGCCCTTCCATATTCTTCAACACGACGCTTGTCTCCAAGTCCCATAATCGAAGCGTCTTGTCGCATGAGCCTGTAACCATGCGTCGTTTATCAGGGAGCACTGCGACTGCGGCCATTATGCACTCTCTATGACCTTTGAACTCTCGCAGGGGTGTGGTGATTTGAGTGAGCTCCAACATTTTTCTGATGGTTGATGGTGTTGGGCACGGCTAAGGTGGACTTCGGAGGGACCTTAAGTATCTTTCTATCTTTCTTTGGACGAATACCTTCCACTTCTAAATCAATGATATGAGCTGGCATTTGGAATATCACTTAGGCTCTGCTGAAATCAGAATTCGCATTGGTGATCACGGTCCACGGCACAGGTATCACGACCCTGAACGAGGTGTCACTACACTTGCAATCCCGAGGCCTGCTTGTGTACTGGATACAGTCACAGGAAGCGTTTTCCTTCCAGCGGTCTGCGAAGACATGATGAGTTTACAGCAACCTAGCCTACTGATTTTTTTTATAGAACACAGCAAGTAAGGATTCATGTGCTCCCCCTGGGAGAATCTAGTCTTATAATTGTATAAGAAGAATATGTACTCGTCGGTCGTGTGGCTCCCTGACTTATATTTAGGTGATTATACAAGGCCAGCTAAAGTTACGGCCTTACTATAAGTAGTGGTGATAATGATAATGGAAATGAGTTCCACCACTATCGCCGCCAGGTCGGACAATATTAATGACCGTTCAGCTAGCTCGAACGGACACATCTTGAACAGTACATCTTCTAGGTGTTCTGGTACTCTCTGTATCGGCCAACACAATGACAGCATGATGACGGGCACCCCATCTCAAGAACATGTGGGGAGTCCATGTCGTTGTCCCTCTTGAATTGTATCTACTGAGACTCAGTGTTCTGGGTCGAACTCCTTGGGTGTCGAATAGAAATCAACATTGTTGTGAAGATCACCGGTTGAGAACACTATGTACGTTCCGTGCGAGATACATTCTTGGTCCACGAACATGTCTCCTCCTATACGTCTCATGAAGGGCTCTTCGAAAAGCACTGAGCAGTGGTTTGGGAGTACAAAGATTGAATATCAACGTCTGCATTTCTATGGAACCCATCGAAAAGACTGGTTTGAGAGGTTGATCTTAGCATCCAAAGGTGAGAGTCTTCATACAATGGCTTTGTCTGGCTTCGTTCTGGACGAGTGCGTTCCACTTCTAATATTCAATGTTTTGAGCTGGTATCGTTATGACATTACGATCCCTGTCGGTGACCCAGCGCACAAGTGCCACGAACTTGAACGAGGTATCGCTTTGCAGTTTAAACCAAGAAAACAATGGACCACATTAGCGGACTCCAGCTGATTTGACGCAACCAGCTAGTTGCGCTGCATTTGGCCCGTCCCAGTGTCATGGCACCTGGCTCACACATGGTAGACGTTTGGAAATTTTATCATTAGTGAGACTAGTTCACTCGGACATGTGCGTGACAAAAAAATGTTCTCCCGGAACAGTGTGAAGCTGGAAAGGATCCATGAATACAACAGCTAAAGTACCTCTAGTGTCCTGATGTCCGTCAAGTAGCTAATAGAAGCTATGTCTTTAACTTGTGCAATGATATCATGTTCGGATGCGATCCTCTTGAATTCTCCGTCGCGCTGCCGCGCTAGCAAAAATGCACTAAACAGCTGTCCAAGATTGACGATCAATCGCAATGCTCGCGAGTCAGAATCCGAATGAATAGGCCCAGTTTGTGCAGCGGATGAATCGTGCAACGAAAATTCGGACACGGACCAATTGTCCACGCTCTGCGTATCGTCTGCATTGTCATGCAGCCCGAGGAGATGACGACTCCATGGACGAACGAGCAATACCGTCTGCCAGACGGGCGGCGGCCTTGCCGGCGAGAAAGGCGTGAACCTGTCTTCTGTGGTGATATGCAGGTTGCGAAGCCCTTCTGACTTGATTTCATAAGTATATGTATTCTGGTCATAACCAGACCTCCGCCTGGCTTCTGTGACCGGGAATACAATGCAAGGCAGATGCAACCGGCGATGCGCAAAACGGGGAGCGCTCTGGTAGTCAAGTGTCTGATATAATTGCGAAGCCGACTGTAGATCCACAACACTGCGCAGCGAGGAGACCGATGCCTGAATCTCATCTTCGGATGGAGATGGCAGCGTGCATGGTGGAGCTTCGTATGAAGTGATGTTGGCTGGTAGACAGCTATTGAACTCTGATGACTTTCCAACCCAGTCCAGCGCAGTAATATCACCGGACTGAGATATGATTTCTTGCAGGAGTCGCCCGAGCGCGTTCTGCTTCTTCTCGCTATAATCAACATGCAGGCGGACGCCAAAGACCCCGAATAACGAGTATGCTATATCTTCTTGCAACGTGGTAGTACGCGTCGACGCCCACTGAAGTTTCTCTCGGGCGTTTCTCATCCCGGGACGGAAAGCCACGACTGCTCGTCAGTCTATCCCCGTCGCATCCTCCAACTCCTGCATGATCGCGATGGAATTCTTGTGATTGGGAGTGCGATCGTCGAGATAAGGAGTCCAATCATTCTGATAGAAGAGAATGACTTTGGGAGCAAGGAATTCTTGGACCGTCCATCCACGGGTGTTCCAAGCGCTCTTTCCCAGTGCGCCGGGCTTTGACAAAGGCGGAACATCCAAGAGGTATACGACTGTGAGCGCGGAGTGGTGATACCAGGAGAACATGGACTTGACCGATGCTTGGAGCTCAACATCGATGCTCTTGTCAATACAGCACGTGTCGCTCCATGCCCAGCGATACCCCAAATCACGAGCAGTTTTGCAGAAGGACTGCAACTTCTTGATGCCTCCCACTGGATCCAACTTATAGATGTCCTTGCCCTGAATATCTTGCAGCAGCGGCTCCTCGCCTTCCCACCTATGCGACAGCATGACATATTGGAAATATGTCATCACCACTTCTTCGACGCGCTTCATTTGGATATCTCGATGTGTGATTGTTGATGATACAAGCTCCTTGTACTGTACGCTCGTTTTAAAGGTGCGTATCTGCATCCCTCGATCGCATAAAAGACCGGTGGCAGTGTCGATTACACGCAGTGGAGAATTGTCAAGTTGAGCATCAATGACTTTTCGAATGGCACGATCCACCTCGGATGGACTAAGGTACTGCTGGCGCAACTCTGCAGAGACAATCAAATCATGTTGACACACGAGTCCTCTGAGCCTTACTTCGTGTCTCAGTGTCAGGAACATCATCCAATTTTGAGAACATCGTTATGAAGGTCACAATAGCTTCACCATAACGTTGCGCGCCATGAAACGCTGCATGCTCCAACTTGTATCCAATATGAGACAAAGGGTTGAGTAGGATGACCTGTGGATCACCACAATGAGTATAAGTGAAAAAATAAATAACTGCCATCGCACCCTCTGCGCATCGAGAAGTGCTTCCGTCCATAGCATTTTTCCCAACCTTGCCTTGCTACGCTTTACAAAGACGTCATCAGACGCAGGGTTCAAGTCGATCACTGCCGAGTAAAGGTCAATAGCCCTGTCATAATCGCTTGCGGCGAGGGCAGCATCCCCGCCGGTAAGAAAGGGCCCGATGCATTTTTCCGTGAAAGCTGGGTGAAATGGGAGTGAGGATTGTAATCTGCGCGACATCACGAACTCCAGACTTGCCGTTGGACCATTCAACGCAGCTGGCCTTCGTTGTTTCATCAATACTGTCCATCATGTATCGGTATGATCTGACAGCATCTTGAGATTTACCTGCCAGAAGGAATGCCTGACAAATTTTCTGGTGTGTAGTGAGCTGTAACGATTTGAGATCCCAGCCGAAGAGCTGGACAAGGGACTCAGTTATGAAAAGGATTTCGGGTGTGCGATCACGTACTACTACCAGGTCCTCATACATAAAATGAATGGGTGAAATCCATGAGAGAGCGCCGGGGTTCGGAACGGCGGTAAAATGGTCAGCAGCTTCTTCATAACGTGCACCATCCAAGGCCTTGATTCCGAGTTCAACACGCAAATATGCCTGATGCGCGAGTTGCAAAGCTTAGTGTTGATGACCAAGTGTAGATGATACTTACTTGCACGACACAACATCCGAGAGCATCGGCATTCGGGCAGCCGACAGCGAGTTCTTCGAGGAGCAGGTTTGCCTCGTTATGTTGATCTGCATTGAAGAGGGCGATGGCCTGAAATGCGCGATGAAGCGGAGGGCAATATGTGGAGCAAATGGAGCATACTTTGATCAAGAGCAGGGAATGGATGATTTGCGAATCTTGGTCCGTGTACATTGATGCAACATCAAACGCTACCCTTGCATCCGGGACGCGGCCTTTTCCGCAGAGCGCAATACCTTTGGTGATGTAGCCTGTCAGTGAGGGCTGAATGATGATGGACTTTGTCGTCGTCGAGTAAGCCTTTTATAATTGGGCGATGATCAGTGCGTATAACTCACTTTGATTGCATCCTGAAGGGCGCGGTCCCAGTTGTGTTGTCGAGCCATCACGAATGAGCGATGGGCATAGGAACAATGGTTGTTGTCATCGGTGTTGATATCTTGCGTGAGTAGTTCTTCGGCAGTAGACAAGTGCCCATCTATGCATGCATCACGAGCTCTCGTGATGGCTAGGATCTGCACAAAACATGCTCAAATTGTGTGGTATATGAGTCAAGAATGGAAACCTGCCTTCGGATGAATACCCTGAGGTACTGCCCACTCCGAGATCATCTTATCTTTACCTCCGCTGAGGATGCGGTTGCCGTCCATGGAGAAAGTGACGCAGAACGGCGTAGATGAGTGCTTGAAGGTAGCAATAGTTCGTTGATCTGAGAGCCGCCGGAGACAGATATGATTGTCATAAGATGCAGATGCGACGAGTGTGCCAGCAGGATTAACGGCAATGGCACTAATAGTGTCGGTGTGACCGGTCCAGGGATCGCCGACCTGCTCCCAGGTTGTTGTATCCCATTCGCGTAGGGTAAGATCGAGTATACTGCCACCTGTGAGAAAGCGAGTGCCATCGAGCGTCCATCCGAGCAACAAATTGTATATGTGAGCCTCAAAGGATGAGACGCATTCTCTTGTGCCTGTATTATAAATTTGAATATTGTCTTTTGTTGCGACGGCAAGAAGTTCTCCAGAGGGCGAATATCGAAGGCAGAAAACATAACCATTACACTCAATTGGGTCTTCTTGTTGCTCCCAAGTTTTGGTGTTCCACAGTTTCATCGTTCTATCGTCATATACACTAGTGGCCAGCACAGTTCCATCGGGAGAAAAATCCAGCGAGTAAATAAATTTGGAGTGGGCTTTGATTTTGGTGAGTGATTCGCCGGTTTCTCTGCGCCACACGATGACCTCGCCGTTAAGATCACCGCTTGCTATCAATTGCCCATCTCCTGATATTGCCAATCTCCACACCTCACTGTGATGCCCCTCCATCTTCTTCAACACAGCACCTGTCTTCAAGTCCCACAGACGAAGCGCTTTGTCGTACGATCCCGTGACCATTCGCCATTTATCAGGGAAAACTGCCACTGCCGTCACGAGTTCTTCATGACCTTTGAACTCTCGCAGGAGTGTAGTGAATGGAATGAGCTCCGACATTTTATTGGAGGTCAATAACGTCGGGCACGGTCGAAGGGGTTGTGGGTGTCTTTCTGCCGAGGTGCGTTTTATGCGTCAACCAGGAACCTGTCTCATTTCCATAGACGCCTAGGACAAGAGGCTGTCCATCACTGTTACGGCAAGAACGCACTGACGGCCTACCGAGCAACTGTGTTCAAAGGACTATTATCGCGGGTGTTTTTAGTGTTGTTGGCAGAAATACGCTGAACTAGTATTTGTTCCTACTAAAAAACAATAAAAATATGACATGTGGCCTAGAAGCCCAAGGGCCATTCTGTCCAAAAAATTGTGTTCAACCACTTTGTTAGTAGTTACTGGGGAGAAAGTCAAAATTTGGTCAAAAACAACTCAAATCACTACTTTTTCACATGCAACTGCTGCTCGGCACAACAGCATCCATCTAATTGACTGAAAAATATGATCATCGGGCATGCTTGTGCAGTGTGGCTCACTACAAAAAATGCAATCAAGGCTGAATTCTATCAATTCTATCCCCGGATCTATTGCTTCTGCAACTTCCAAGTCGACTCAAAGGTCGTTTGCATGGATTCCTCCCCTTGCAGCAGACTCTGATCACCAGGATTGACCAACTGTCAGAAAATGATGGGGCAGAAGGTATCCACGGTGCCAACTGGCTTTGTTGAAGAGATCAATGTACTCGATCAAAGCTCAGAGAGTGCATCAGGGTATGATATTGATGCACTTTTGACTCATGAGTATAGCTTAGTGTAGTACTCAAAACCATTTTTGCCATAGTACAAACATAGTTGAAAAGAGCTAAAAACGCTCACAATACATTTTGCCGACTTTTGCCATTCTGCCAATTGCCATTCTGCCGTTCTGCCATCTGCCATTCTGCCAATTCCTTTCTGCCCACGACACTAGGTGTTTTGTAACGCCATTTAGCATGGAATCCGTGATAAGTCAGGAATTTGACCGACTCTAGGATTATTCTACTTAAACAAAATCTTGGGCCAGTCAGGGGCGGCTGGCTTCAGTCGGAGTTTGAACGTCGCTTGATGACAAAGCGTCACGTGTCAATTGTCGCATGTTCGTTTTTTGATTGACTCATGATTATTCTCAAATCTCTGTTCACAACTCCGTTTTAGCAACATTGTGATGAGCCTACTTGCAGCCCAATCCTTGGCCCTCGAAAAGTACGGTCCGTCGAGACTAGAGATCATGAAGTCAACTGCACATATGTTAGCATCTCAAGGGTTTAGCTAGCCTAAGGGAGAGAGCCTTGGCACTACCTCAGTTTGAGCACGAGCTCGAGAAAAGGAATCAGAAACATGATATCCGAGCATATTTTACAATGAGCTACACCTCTAATTCACTAACACCTAAGACTAGATATACTTGGATTTGATTTGGTTGATTTACAGGTACGTGTAGCGCAGAAGCGAGAATGTACATGCATCCATGATTCCATGTGTACAGTGCAAACCATATAAGTTGTGATGCGATGCTATAGCCTGACCAAAAATAGATATTATATGTAGGAGACCATTGAAGGTAAAAGGCATATATGACGACACAGCTCACCGCCACCATGGAGGAGGACCAGATGTCCCAGGTCCTCCCGGCCTCGCATAGCCACTGCGAGTCGAATTGCTTCTTGAATCTGGTCCGCTATCCATGTTGAAAGATCCAAAGTGCTGTGCAGCTGCATTGTTGGGATGCGCGGTTCCGTGAGGTTGGTTTCCCAATGAGGCCACGTTGGTCCGTGTTGTACCATGGAAAGATTGCAACTCACCTGTCGCCAGGGAGTATGAGTCTAGTAAGTTAGATGTGGTAGATGTAGATGATGACGACGACGACGACGACGATGACGATGACGACGACAATGAGCCTGCGGTTTGAGGAAAAACTGCGCTAGACATGACGCTCGATGATGGAGGCGCTCCGAAGGCGCTCCGTGGAGCTGGCACAGGTTCATGGAAGCCAGAAGTTGCACCTATGAAACCTGTTCTTCCGATTTCATAATCGACTTCCATTGGAGAAGATGAGAAATGTGGGCCGCTATCCTGCATTGTTTCAGGCACTCGACGAGTGGCTCGATTTGTCAAGCCAAACCAGGAAGTCGGGCGCGAAAGTGCTGGGCGATTTGACACATTAGGACGAGGTCCGCTGACGTTCTGGATGGATGGGAAAGTGCGGGGGCCCGTACTGCTCTGGGCTGCACTGGCAGTTGAGCTGGGAGGTTGATGATAAGGATCTAGGAACTGTGAACCCTGTGATTGCTCTGGACGTGGCGGGTGGATGTGGAGATAGTGGTGATGATGGTGATGGAAATGAGTTCCACCACCATTAAATCTTGTCGCCGGCTCTGTAGGAGTACCAACAATCGTTTGGGCACGTGACAATGATTGTGGTTGGGTACCACTCCCTGATTGGGCATTAGACCCTCGGCGAGCGCGATTGATTAATTCACTCAGACGCATGGCAACAACCCCAGAGGAAGAGTCTGAGCTCGATGTCCGGCCGTGATTGCCACTTGCACTTGCTCCCACTTCAGGTTCTCTTGACCCTGACCCACCAGCCCCCGCACTTGTCATTATGCTTGCCTTATATGGGCATTTTGGAGAATTCTTGACCTTTTTGCGACATACAGGGCAAGTATTCGCTGTCTTGAGCCATTGCTGGAAGGGTAACTCGTCAGCGAGCGAAAGAAAAAGACAAAAGAAACCAAGTATACCTCCAAACAAGCTTTATGCAACCAATGGGTACATTCAACGAGCTTTGTGACAGGATCGTCGCGCCCATACTGCAGAAGAAAGGTAAGGTGCGTCACTGGATGAATTTAACATATACGTACATCATCCAAACATATCGGACACCGTGTCTCGCTGTCTTCCTTAGCCCATGCTTGATAGGTTCCCGTTGGAAGCGAGGCAATGACGTCGGAAGGCGTGGCTCTCGACCTGACTTCCCCAAGCGTTTCGCCTAGCGACAACAATCCCTCATACGAAGAGTCAAATAACTCATCCGGCTTTATCCGAAAAGAGAAGCATGAGGAACATTCCAGTAAGCACAGCACAACACAGCACACGCACCATATAATCACCCATATTTCTCCTTGCCACCGTCCGAAACATCGATCTAATACGAGTACCCTCTGCTCGTGACGTTCCGCGTGTGAGGCCAGCCCGCTGCCTCAAGGTGCGAATGGGTGTCCGTTCTTCGGGTGGGGCTGCTTCTTGCCGTTCTCGAGGCCGATCTGTAGTGTTTCGGTATGGATTGTGGGTAATAGTAGCGGAACTACCGGAGGTGAATGATGATCCGGAGCTCGTCGGAGTAGATGAACCTTGAAGCAGTGGAGACCGCCATGGAAGTAATGTGAGGCGATTAGCATTCCCAGGTCTTCCGGAGGGCCCCTGGTGTGGCTGAGAAACATTGCGCCGGGAGGCTAAGTCAGATCGTTCATTGTTGGGGCCATATCGCTCCATCATTTCACGCATGGTTCTCATCCTTTCATAGTCGCGATCCTGGGGTTGTATCAATGACTCCCATGAAGGGTGGGGGCCAGGGTTGTGTGCAGAGGCGTCACGCCTACTGCTAGACCAGAATGGATCAATAGGCAGACTTTGAACACCTCTCTCTGCTTCATTCAATCGATGCCTCGCAAGATGTTCGTCGCTCGACTGTCCTCTCAATGGAGGGACGCGGTCCCGTGCAGCAGTGAAGGCGCTATTGACCTGCGTGGATGTGTTGTGAGAGTCGACGCCAAAAGCCAAGGATGTTGCTGAAGCAGCAGGCTCTGGCATCATATGCCTCGATGTAAACCGTGCACTATAGTATTAAGGAACATTCAGCAAATGGTTCGATGGGAGTTATACATAAACACTGACCTCGAGGCTGCTGTGCGTTCCCTTCCACGCCTTGGCTGCACAAATATGTCAGTGCTAAATACATCACGTGATTTGTTTAGGGACACACCGATATACCCAAGTAAGAATCCATGTCATCGCTATCGTTATCTTCATCTGAGTTTCCGAAAGAAAACGCAGTGGAAAGTTGATGAGCAGGAGGTACAGGCTCTGGTTCTGACGCACGGAAATCACCGCGTCCTTGGTTCGCTTGTATCGATCGCCGCAACGAATCGCGGTATATTCCAGGCGGGAACATATCCAAGTTAACGCTGCTGAAAGGATGAGATCTCGCAGGTGTGTCACCGCTGGGCACCTGTGGTCGTTCCGAAGACATGTGCGGTGGAGAACGCGAGCGAGCAGTACGCAAAGTGTGAAGAGGTGGCGTGGGCGGACGATAAACATACGGTGGCTGCGCGTTTCCCTCCACTGAGTTTGTTGAACTCGGGATAGCGTTGATCGTGGCGAAAACAGGGTCAAAGATACTGTCAGCTGGGTCTTCAGAAGAGATGTGGTTGCGGTCCCTTGACAGAGATCTGTTATTCGCACTTCTTGTCTGGGGATGCCTGTGTTCGGATAAAATCTCTGGAAATCGGACTCTCTCCCACTCATTCAAACCTCCTCGTCGAAACTGAGAAGATGACCCAGAACTGTTTGATACGAACGGTCTTGAAGGAAGATCGCTTGTTCGACCAGACGCCAAAGGGTGGGAAGATGTGTTTGAGGGGTCTGCCTGGCTGGCTATTAGACGCCTCAAACGAGCAGCGGCAGTTGAAATGTCGGAATTGTCTCGAGCAGGCTCGTCGGAGTTGGGACGTGAATCAGACAATTGAGTGCGAAGATGCGCCCTGGCGTTGGTACGACGATGCTCTGCAGCACTTTCTGACACCAATGAGTTGCTGGACAGTGTTGTAGCGGAGGTATACAAGCGGGAATGAAAGCGGTAGCGAGCCGGAGGAGGATTTGGCGGCTCATGTCGGGAAGGCGACCCAGACAATGAACGAGCTGATTGAGAAAGATTAGTGAGTATAGTTTGGGACAATGCGCTGTACCTTACCAGTTTCCACGCCACGCTCCAGTAGCCCGCGGGCATTATGAAGACCTTGGATGATCTCATGCACACTATCTGAATGGGAGGGGTCGTCGTCATCTTCATCATTTTCGCCGGTGATATCGTAACGGTTGTGAACCATCGCCCTGCGCCGTCTCTCGTGATCGATGGAGTCCTCTCCACCGAGACCCGCTAAGTAACGGTTAAATGACAACTCTGCTTCGTCGGAATCTTCAATTGCCTGTTCTCTGGAAAACGAAGAAAAAGCCTCGGAGAGAGGGCGAGCTAGCAATATTTGTAAACAACAGGGAAAAATTAAACATAAAAACCATACCTAAGTTACGCGAGCGTTCAATAACTGATCTAGCGCGCACAGCAGCCTCTTGGTATCTGTCAGTCGAGCGGGAAGGCGATGGGTTATGGTCCTGGATTGGATTCGAGGCATCCCGGTGTCGTTCCTCGTCAACAGCGTAGAAGTGAGAGATGGAATCTCCAAGCACTGGAACAAATTGTAACTTTTAATCAATATGATCATCACCTGTGTGAGAGAGAGAACCGACCAGAGGATGACGCAGAAGTGCCTGCTGACGTACGGGCAGAGCTCATGGATCTCCAGCCGGCATCTGAATGGGTAGTACGTCTTGCGGCCTGCGGCCTAGTATCCAGATCTGAATTTGGTGGCTCGAATGTATTGTCAAGGAGTCCTGGACGCATAGTTACGTCTGGCAATGACGCAACTGGCGGTGAAGAACGGGAGGGAGTAATAGTAGCCCATGTCAAATTGGATGAGCCAGAACTTGGTACACGATGAACACCTTGCCTGCCGACTACATCGGGCAACGACGCAACGGGCGGTGAAGGACGGGAAGAGGCAAGAGCAGCCCATGACAAATTTGATGGCCCAGAGCTTGACCCACGGTGGACACCTTGCCTGCCGACGGGTCCATTTAAGGTATCAGTATTGTTTCTTTCAGTTTGCAGGACTGACGATACGGAGGTAAGTGATCCGTTGGGAAGCTCGTCAGATTCTCGGATAGATGCGTTCGTCCTCGTTGATGAAGAGATTGATGGAGATGGGCGGTGTGAAGGATGAGGGGTGTTGGAAGAACGTGTAGAATTGGAGGTGTTACTTGATGAGGTAGTATAGCCAGGACGTGATGATAAGCCTGTCGGCGAGTGGTATGTAATCAGTGCTCATGTGTATGTAACAGATCAAAGGAACAGCTACCATCTGATGCTTGGAAAGATAACGAGTCAACCTGTCTGGGAGCCGCAGCGTGTGTACCCCCAGACCCAATGGAAATAGTTGCATCGGTGAAATATTGACCACGGCGATCCTCCCCAGATGTGTGTGATGAGCCCGGTGAAGCTCCAAAATGAGTCCAGTCCCAGCTGTCAAATGCTTCGGTGGTATCATTTGACGATTCACGTGGGGACAGAACGGGAGATGCGGTAGGGTGCCAAGACGGAGTACGTGAGTGTGAACGCCGGAGGACTGCAATGTGGCTATCAAATTCGTTGAAGCGTTCTATGGAGCTTCTAAGAGCATCATGTGCAGTAGAAGATACTACTTCTGGCGGAGGTACAGGGCGTGGGATGTCCAAGGAAAAAACAGAGCTATCTGACATGTCCTCATCCTGAGGTTCGGTCTCAGTGCTCGGTGGCACAGGCGTTGGTGAGACCAAAGTACCCGGAGTGGAAACAGTGGCGGGAGATGGATAAGCTGAGGATCTCCTGTTCTGGTCAAGAGAGAGGGTGTGGTTGTTGGTAGTAGAGCCCTCGCTCAGCGAGGCGCTCGATCGCGCGGAATTGTACTCGGAGGACCTGGAAGAGTCTGCAGAACGATTACTGACAGAGGAGCTGCTCGTACTCCTTGCCCTCTTGTTTCTTTCATTTCCGCCGCTGCTGCTACTGGAGCCTGTGGGGACGCTATGGTTTGTTGTGCCACTCCCGCTGGCTTGAAGAGCGCTAGTCATTGGAGAGCCCGAATCATAGCCAAACTGTTCGAACGTCCGCTTGAACGACGTTGCATTTGGTGCAAAAGAGACGTGGAGATGAGAGGGATACTCTGAAGACATGGATGCAGACCACAAGGTCTACTGAGAAGAAAGAACAAAGGAAAAGGGGGTCCTAGTACCTAGTCACGTAGTGATGGTAATTACAAGTCCCACCCTTAACGGGCATATACATGCTGAGTCAATTACACTGAACCCTTTTCTCCGATCATCGTCTCTTCATCAGAATCGCTCTTCGTCGAGTAATGGTCTGAGCTCATCGCAGGATCCAGTGCATAATACGTGTTTCTGTCAACGCAATTCCCATGATTGCAACGAGGAGCTAGAACTAGAATAGCTCTGGTTCGACATGTGCGCAACGTTATCACATCCTACCGTACGCATCATTCCATTCGGAATGCTTTATTTTGGGCACCTCAGCCGCATAAAGTGGATGGCGAGATGTCTGATGTTGCAGGTGACCGTCAGCGTCACCATACTTTGGGCTCCAAGCAGTTCTGGGCAACAGTGCGGGCATTTTATTGTTCTATATGGGATTTCTTTCATCCTGGTGGTATTGCTGCACAGGATTCGGAGAGAACACGGTGCGGTATCAACATGTCGACAGGCCACAGCTGGCAACGCCTGCAGTGATTAATTTACCTCCACAAATCGTCATTAACCCAGTGACTAAGTGCATAGTCACCCGCTGTGCGTGTTGCACTCTTCGTAAGTAACATATTATTGTCTTCCATTACGGCTAACTTCAAGCAGCTCCAGATATGATGGCAAAGTGGAGTCGCTCGTTGCATATTATGATCAGGGTGTGTACGATAGTAATCTCAAAATGTAAAATTAATTTACCAACATAGTGTATAGTGTATGACGTTCACACCGCTGTTGCATTTCACCAGGACGTGTCAACTTGGCAGCATCACGCATGCAGAGAGGCGCAGCTCTGCTACGCCTTAACTCGATGAGTACACAATATTCTCCTGTAAACAGGAGTTCCCAGCGCGCAAGAACTGTGTGAATTTTTGATATTCTCACGTCAGCATAACCCTCTATGTCCGCAATTCTGTGCAACTCACCTGCCCATAGAACAGGTAAGCAGGCTGACAATTATAAGGGTCATGCCTGCAAAAGACGCCGCTAGGATTACCCCGACCATGTATACTTTCAAAGAGGTTTCGTCGATGTTGAACGTTCCGAGTATGCAAGTATTGGGTATTTCCGGGTCATTAGTTGCTGTACTAGGTCTAATCCGCAAGGGCCTGGTCACGGTCGGCGCAGTCATCACTGGACATCGGACATGAAACTTGCGCAATGATTCAAGTAGGGCAGACTTACTGCTGGCTACCGATCCTGCAGCGGTCACAAGTACAGAAGCCGTGCTTCCAGACGCCAGCGTATCCGAGGCAAGATTTATAAAATTACGATTGCTTCCTATAGATGAAGAATCCGGGTAAGTTCCCTGCGTCCTGGAAAGCAAATCCCTGTTAATTTAAGAATACGCGACGGACGCGGGATGACATACATGATGACAGAGGACCCGGCAGTAGATGCCCGACGTGCCGTATCGGAGCCTGCAGGTGCAGCCAAGATGATGATGGCGGTATGAAGTAACAAGAACATCATCATAAGCTTCATGCAGGGCGGGTCAAAAGATCTGGGGTGTGATCTTAGGCGCGTTCGATGGTTGACATTGTCTGGCTTTTGAACCAGCAAGCGATTATACACGATGACATCGCTATGCCTGTAGATTGTGGCACGTACGGGATAAGCATTCCACGGTGTCATTGGTATGGTATAGCAGCTGCCGCCCTCCGAAGCACTCATACAACGTGTACTTGGTCGTATTAGTGGTTGGTGGATGTGCGAGATTAATTGAGCCACCCTATCATGCTCCCTACGTTATCTGATATCATTTCTATCGTAACCACCCAGGCTCTCCGGAACTCAATAATCAAAACGCAGATCCACTCGAATGGGGAGTTTTCCCTTTATCTGACATCTAGGTTCATCGAACATTCTATCATAAGACGCCGCCAAGTATCAGTATTCCAAAGTCGACCAGCCGTGGACGTCGGCGTAATACACTCAAACCGCGGACTCGGGACTTGCTCACAAGCAAGGTTCCGAATATTTGCGCAGTACTGCAGCTGACCAGTCTGCCTTGTTCGGGAATGCTACGCCACAGCTCGTTTTGATACTTTCCTAATCTAGATGCTAACTCAAATGACATGGTTTTTTCAAGATACTTCGTAAAACATAAGGACGGCATAAGGCTTTTATCACGCTGCTTGACTTGATGTGGAGTCAACTTTTGGTTATTGTATAGGCGACGCTGCTTATAGACCACCAGGTACTCAGAACCTTTGAGAACATGTCGATGAAATTGGCACATGCCCGGGGCGCCGGGGGAGCTAGGCTCTCGGTTACATTAATATGGCTGCCATTCCACCCGATTGACAACTGGACCTTGCAATTACTATAACCTGACCCTTGGCTGACCCTGCCACTGAATTCAAATATCTCTAGCACGCAGTATCGATGATGAATACATCACTATGCAGTAACAACTATCTCTCTCAGTAGCAAGTCTAGAGACGTGTATACAAATATATCTATGTACACTATGTGTGTGGATACCGATGCCAATGTGAGAAACCATATATGCCGCAAAACAACCTAGCCAGGACGAGCTCAGCCCCATCGAGACGTTTCGTGTAAGATTACACTGCCCATGAGAAAAGAAAACACATGCATACTTGCAAGAAAGCAGTACCCTCCGTTATGCCATAAACACATCTTCAATCAAAACGGCAACCGCGATGACTCCCACACCTCGGGGAACGGGTACCACATAGCTGGCAGCTGGCACAGCTCGATAGCCCCTCCTTTGCTCCGATTGATCTCGAAGTCTAGCCACGCGTCCTGATAACGGTGGGTCCCTGCACGTTTCCTATACTCAAACCCGACTTTGCCGAGCAGCTTGAGGCCTGTCGCGAGGGACTTGGCACAGTCTTTGCGTACTATGCGCCATGACTCAAATTCGTCGACATCGTCGTATTCTGGGAATTGCATGCAGATGCGCAGGTCTCGAAGAGCAGATAGAGGAGATAGTGCTTCGAGAAACTCTTGCTGCGGCGATCACATATGCCAAAATCAGCCCATATTTAGCATCAATATTTGATCAGGCCTGAGGGAGGAAACGTACCCAACTTGATACCGATTTACCATCGTGGTAGCCACACCGCTCGATCTCTAGCGTCTGAAGGTGAGGGCAGTTGGAGGTGATGGACCAACACACGTTGGGCGTCAGCTTGTCCTCGATGATAATGCGCAAATGATTGAGTTCACAGGTGCTCGCAGCAACATCTGCGAGCACATGGTCAACTTCTGCTTGGCCAAGTGCAATGGGCCAACGAGGAAGGTCCACGATAGCGAGAATGGCGAGTCGTTGGAGAGATGACATGTGGTTGAGAATCCCACCAAGCTTGCAAGCGTTTGATATGGCGAAATCAGTAAGAGTGGCGAGCTTTGCTGTGTGCGCTGGATCTGGAGGATCATCGCGCCCAAGGACATGGAACTCCTGCGCTTTGCTTTGCGCGAAGAGTAAGCGTAGATCCCGCAATGCATCCATACGTGCAAGCACGTTGAAAAGCTGCACGTGCGCTGGCGGCTCATACGGCTCCGTGACCGGTGCATTACCGGTGAGCGCAAAGGTTTTCAGAAATGGCCAATCTATTCTGGCTAGAGCACCAAAAGAGCATAGACTACCGGACAGCTCGAGATGAGTGATGTGTGCTGCGTGCGTCTTGACAAATACGATGGAGGCTTGTATCTCTTGGACTTGCCTCCAGCTGGCCTGCGAGCGATACTTCCTCCTCCAGTCACGTATGAAGTACGTGATATCAGAAAATCTCGGTTCTGTCGGTCCATCACCGATCCGAAGCGTCTGGCCAACAGGTGTGAGGGAAATCTGCTTGAGTGTAACGGGGGAGATAGATGTTATGCCTATTTGAAGCGGCGTGTCGATGAATATGATAGCGCTGAGGGATCGTGATAGACCCAATGATTGAAAAAGGGACCGGGGTATGACAAAGGGACAAATCAGTGTCACCTTCGACAGTTTGGGCATCTTTGCAATCGCCAAATTGAATTTGACCAGATCGTGAGGGACATAATTACCATCTTTGTCCAGTGTTCCCCACTTGAGGCGAGTGGGTTCTGTCCATTCGTCAAACCATTCCAGCCGAAAGTGCCTTGGCGCCGAAAATCATAATGAACCTTGATGCTATGGGAGGGGGGAGTGATAACGACAGGCTTACCTGATATATGGCCAGAGGCCCTCAGGGAAGAAACGAAGGCCAGATTCTTCAGCCTTGGATTTATGAGGCCACCGCACCTCAGAGAAGAGGTAGGGGAGACACGATTCGCGGAAAAATCGAGATGTGCTGGCAAGGGTCAACAGCGCAGATGGCGAACCTCCATTGCTAGACAAGAGATCGTTGATGAGAATGTGCGTGATGTCCGCGTTCAAGATGGACATGACGGGACGAGAGGGATATATCGTATGCACGGTGTAAAAATTGGGGAAGGTATTTGGACTAATCGTGTTGAGTGCGCAAGGCGATTAGAAGCCTTGTGACTTGGAGTAAAAATTTCTAGGTGCAGTGAGGCAAGAAGACAGGTGGTCAGCACCGTGCATTCTGAAGCCTTGTATGGTGCTGTAACGTACAGACGAGTATCACGGAAACCGCGAACTTAAAGCGCACGTTTGGCTAGGAACCCGCCTTTGAGGAGGGCTCTGATTATGCTGGTGGTTGATCTTGAAGCCTGTGCTATCAAGCCTGTAAATATGGCGAAGTTAGTCTGAGAAACGCCCAAAGGTGTCAGATCAATCGTGCCGAATTCACAGGCTCTAGACTTAGCCGAGACTTCGCGATCTAGACCACCAATTTCGGCCCAAACCATTCGTTGGACAAATACAAATTGTGCTGCCCTTACGAGCGACTTACGAAAATATGAATGAATGGGATGACCACATCAAGTCCCCTTTCCTGGAGGCCACGTCTAATTTGATCTAGGTGCACAAACCCCGCATCCACGCCGAATCAGAATTAGAAGCCAAAGGTTGGAGTCCTCACTTCATGTACAAATTAACTGCCAGGGTTCATGCTTTGCTATACTCAGCTTACAACTCTCCTGCCTCCAGACTCTCATAATTTCCAGATATTCCACCTTATTATCACTTGGATGCATACTTCTCCGTCCATTCCCTGCTCACTCTTTGTGCGTCCTTCTCATCCTCCTTGTAGTGCTTGGCCACATCGGTAGCCAGTGGGTCATCGGGATTGGGCGCACTCAGCAAAGCTTGTATCGACAACAAGACTGTCCGAATTTGCAATGCAGGGGACCACTTGTCTACAAGGCAGTGACGTTCAAACCGGTAGGGACTATCACGAGGTACCCGAACGCACCTTTCAAAATATCTAAACAGATTCTACCCAGTTTATCTGCCGTAGCGAAGCATATTTAGATTGCGCAGGCACTATGGTAATCTAAGAGCTCACCGATGTTTGGGTGGTATATCTTTGTGAGAAATCGCACCTTTGGGGGACTCATGGGATATTCCTCTGGCAGGAATAATTCCAGGTGAAACACGCCCTCTTACCGAACGTTTCAGCATTCCGACAATGTATCACCTATAATCTCGACAGCTCACGTTGGAAGGGACTGCCATCAGGCCCTTGAATCGTTACGTCAAAGTAACGCAGGTTGTCCTCGTGCGGCGCAGCAGTGATTCCAGGCGCGGGGTCTGCGACGAGACGCTCAGTTTCCTATGCGAAGAAATGAAGAATAGATAAAAGAAGCATGGTCAGGGATGGCTGACTACTGGGAAGATGCTGTAGACATGATTGCACACACCTTGATGATCCGCTAGATAAGTACCAGATCCTATTCAGAACATATTATTTCAAAAGACAATGTTGAACACCTGCCTTGGGAAGAGCCATATCTAGGGCTCAAGGGTCGTGCACGGTGGTAGACAATGAATGAGATGGAAACGAGATCACTTGGCACAGCGGGCCCACTTGAGAGTCCATGTACGGTATTTTATTCTCACGCCTTACATCATACCAATTCAAGAAACTCGTAGCACGGCCTTCGCCACACACAACGGTGAGCTCATAATGTCCAACGATGTTCAGATGAATGTAAAACGATGTGTCAACGTTTCGACTATCACAAAATTGTGCTGATTTCCAGCATTCCAGGATGCAGGCGCTGAAAAGCGGGATGACTGGGTAAAAATCACCAGTTCAGACGGCTACTCCTTTCTCGTGAAGCGAAGTGTCGCTGCGATCAGTGGCACCCTCAAAAACATGCTTAGCGAGGATAGTGAGCTCCCATTCCTTTTGGAAGCTTTGCTATGGTTTCCGAACTATTACACACTACAGGTAGTTTCAGGGAGGCAATTGCCAACACATGTCCGATCAGCGAACGGTGGGTAGCGACCCGTTTAGGAACCTGCTTTGTCCTCTAATAGCCTAAATAGCGCTGCGGTAGTCGAGAAGGTCTGTGAATATATGTCCTTTAAGGCTTACTACGAGGGGCCTGGATCCAAGGAGGTTGTTGATGTGAATGAATTCACCGAGCGCATACCGCCCGAGGTGGCGTTGGAATTGTGTGTCATATCATTACCTGTTCCATTATGATCTGAATCAACTTGCATCGATTAGGCTCCTTGCGGCTGATTATTTAGAAGGTGTGTTTGATTCCTGTATATAAGGTTCACTAACGCCCAGCATCATTCAGTATAAACTCTTTCAGACATTCATCTCAAGTAGTCTGGAGTAGGCTACTAATTAATCTTGATTTGTGGTCGAACTATCTGTGCTGCATTTCATTCGTTAAGTAATGTACCAGT